AATCAATATTATTTCCAATATTAATTTCTCTTGACTAAATTGATTAATTATCCGATTATCAATTCTAACAATATGTATTTAATCCAATAATGCTCCTTATAATTATTCCGATAATCCCTTCTTCGACTAAATTCCAACAATTAAATCCTCAGTAATTCATTTAAATAATTTAATGAATTTTCGGGCGTTACAACTTTTACTTATCAAAATATCAGAGTTTTGCTCGCCGTGTTGGTGCTTTCAGAAGTTGTAACATTAGAACTTCTTCATTTTAGCGTGTTACACATATTTGCTTCTAAGTATGTTGTGTTTAAACAGAGCTTCAAAACGTAATTTTCTCATCTTCTATGCTTCTTTCATCAGAATTTATCTGTATATTTAAATACTTTATTAGAGATCATATTTGTGCTTTATATATATCATGTATTTATTATCATCAAAACTCATACAAGGATGTAGAACCAAACTATATTCTAACACTTTGTACCCTATCTGACATGTAACTAACGCATCCTCTACCCTATATAAAACATTGCGAGAGGGGTTTTAAACTTAGAAAAATTGCAAGGGGGTTTTAAACTTGGAAAAGTTAAGAGTGTTAGTGCGTGAGGCACTTTTAGTGAGGAGAGAAACAGGAAATAATAAAGGAAATAAGAATTTATATTATTGAATTGTTACAAATAATGATACAGACTAGGACTATTTATATACAATCCTAATTTGGCTTGGGTCTACACAACTTAGATTATATTTAAATATTAAATCTAATATAATATTTAAAAAAATCTAATTTAATATTTCAACACACCCCCATAATCCAAGTTGTCGAACATCCTCAAAAATAGTCAATCTGAATTATTCTTAATTTCTTTCTCAAATTCAGGAATTTGTCAATCTTCAATCTTTTGATGAAAATGTCGGTCAACTGCGCTTCACTCGAGCAATGCCTTACTTCAAGTTCACATTGATTTACCTTTTCCCTCAAGAAGTGAAACATTGCTTCAATATGTTTACTTATTCCATGTAGAACTGGATTCTTCACCAGATTTATGGTTGACTTGTTGTAGATTTGTAATACAAGAAGTTTCTTCACTTCGACCTTCATTTCTTCAAGTACAGACTAATCCAAATTGCTTGACATGCAGCATATGATCTTGCTATATATTCAGCTTCACAAGATGATAATGCCACCACAGGTTATTTCTTCGAACACCATGAGATTGGGGCACCACATACTTGAAAGAAATATCTAGTTGTGCTTCTTCGATCTTCCTTATCTCCATACCAATCAACATCTGAAAAATAATTAACTAATGCTTCTTTGTCTTCAAAATCTTGTCGAAATAATATTTGACAGTTTATCGAACCCTTCAAATATCTCAAATTCTTCTTGCAACCTTCATATGTGACACTCTTGGTTCACTCATATATCTTCTTACTAATCCTACAACAAAACCTATATCAGGTCGACTGTTTCACACATATCTCAAAGATTCCACAATTTGCTTGAACAAAGTTACATCGACTTTGTCTTCCTCTACATTCTTCTCCAATTATATATTTGGTTCGACAGATGAGGATGCAGGATTTGAATCATGCATTATAAATCTCTTAAGTATTTCTTTTGACATACTTCCTTTGATGTAGCACCATACCTTTCTTCGACATTTGAAATTACATACCTAAGAAATAAGACAATTTTCCTAGATCAGACATTTCAAATTCCTTCATCATCAACTCTTTGAGCTTCGACAAGTTCTTCAAGCTATTTCCAGTTACTAGCAAGTCATCGACATATAAGAAGATGATTGTTATACCTTATGATATAACCTGAACATAGATACCATCATCAGATTTTGCATTTGACAAATCCCAATTCAACTAAGTATGAGTCGATCTTCTTGTTCCATGCCCTAGGTGTCTGCTTGAGGCCATAAAGCGCTTTGTGAAACTTACATACTTTACTCGCTTCCTTTTGAATCACAAACCCTGAAGGTTGTGTTACATAGACCTCTTTGTCTAAAGGACCATTCAAAAATGTTGATTTCCCATCTAAATGAAATGTAGACTAGTCTTGGTTGCATGCTAATGCTACCACTAGTCGAACAGTCTCCAATCTTGCTACTAGAGCAAATACTTCAGAGTAGTCGAGTTCTTCTTTTTGAATAAACCCTCGAGCTACTAATCTTGCTTTATGTCTTGCTATTGAGCCATCAACATTATGTTTCAACTTGAATATCCACTTTACTTTGATAGTTTTGTATGTGCTGGAAATTCGACTAACTCCCATGTGTTGTTTCTTTCAATTTCCTATAACTCTTCGACCATAGCTAACTTCCACTTTTAGTCTTTAAAGCTTCGCTATAGTTAATTGGTTCAGCACCTTCAAGTAAAGCAAAATGAACTAATTATCCATCTGGTGTGACTTCATCATCACCCACCACTTCATAATCATGAAGTCTTGTTGGAAGAACTCTATTTCTTTGAGGTCTTTGGCTTGTTTTAGCCACAACCTCTTCGACTTTGATTGTGTCGGGAATGTCAACAACTGCTTCTTCTTTGACTTCGACTGGATTATCAACAATTCCTTCGACCTATACTTCATCAGTTTCTCCATCGATATCAGAACTCATCAATGGCTTGTTAATAGAATTGCTAGAATTCCAATCCCAAGAAAAATTTTCATTAATCACAATATCTCGACTCAACATAGTCGAACTGATCATAGTCTTAAATGTCATGTTCTTCGACAACAGAGATTTTAATACCAAATTGTTCTTGGTGTCGAACAATTTTGAAACTCCATCTTTCATGACAACTAAGAAACCTTTTTCGACTAGTTGTCCAACACTTAGAAAGTTTCACTTTATTCCAGGTTCATAAAACACATATTTGATCAAGCTTTCCCTCCATTACTCATTTGAAAGACTATATTTCCAATACCTTCTGCTTGCAATGAACTATTATCAACAAGTTTTACCTTGTTCTTCTTCGACTCGTCAAAATCTGTCAACCACTCCTTTCGACTAGTCATGTGGTTCGAGCAGCCTGAGTTGAGAAACCAAATTTTGGATTTGACATGGTTATCTACAACTGCAGCCATAATTATCATACTACCTTCAGAATCATCTGCATCTTGGCGTGCAAGGTTCTCTCCTTCGTCCTTGCTTGTCGATCCCTTGTCTTTTCTGTACCAACAATTCTTTGCTACGTGACCCCACTTTTCACATTTATAGCACTACACAACTTTTTTATTTTCTTTGCCCTTTCGATAGTTTCCTCCCCCCTTTCGAGGATTCAGAAGCTCCATCTTTGACCTGATGTTTGTGAGGTTTCGACTGACTTCTTATCCTGAGTCTTGTCGAACTTGCCTTTGAATTTGTTGGAACCACCATCCTTTTTTCATGACTGAGCTAGCAGATCCTGTATCGAGTCTTGCACTCCTTTCCTTTCCACAATCCTCATCTCATACGCCTCTAACGAACCAACCAAATATTCCACTTTAGTGGTTTTAAGATTGTTAGATTTTTGAATAGCTATGATAACATGATCAAAGTGAGAGGTTAACATTCTCATTACCTTCTCAACTATCATCTTATCAGTTATGGTTTCACCATAGCCCTTCATGAGATGGAGGAATTTTTGAACCTTCGACACATATTCTGCAACTTTTTCATCTTCTCTCATCGACAACAACTCATATTGTCGATGCAAGGTTTGTAACTTGAAAACCTTGACTTTCTCACCTCCTTCTTAATACTTTACCAGAATATCCCATGCCTCCTTTGTCGTTTCAGCATGAGAGATTCTGTCGAAATTAGCAGCATCGACTGTCGTGTAAATGCAATAAGCAGCCTTGCAATCTTTCTTCTTGACTTTGTTATGGACTTTTTTCTGTTCGTCGGTTGCATTTGGAGCTAACGCAGGAACGTCGTCGGTAACCACTTCTAGGGTTTCATGGAATCCAAACAAGGATTGCATCTATTTTTTCCATCAGATCCAATTCTTGCCGTCAAGCATTGGAAGAGAATTGAGAATGCCCTTATCACTAGCCATCTTCGCAGCGGTTGATTCACTTGCCCTAGAAACACGATCTTTGACGTGAAATTCTTGAAATCTCGATCAAGAACAATAATCGGAAGCTCTGGATACCAATTTGTTACTGCGTGAGGCACTTTTAGTGAGGAGTGAAAAAGAGAATAATAAAGGAAATAAAAATTTATATTATTGAATTATTATAAATAATTATACAGATTAGGACTATTTATATAGAACTCTAATTGAGTTTGGATCTACACAACTTCAATTATATTTAAATAGTAAACTTAATCAAATCTAATATTTTAACAAATCTAATTTAATAATTAAATGGAAAGAAGTTTTTTATGTTGAAAAAAATTACAACAATCATTTTTGCGAGCTGTTTATACCCCAATAAGCATTGCGACAGAATTTCTTGTTTTATAAGGAGTTTTTCACCTAGCAAAAGCTGAATTTTTTTGATAGTGGATATTAAATGCCCATATTAAACAATTTCTTAAAGAAAAAAATGTAAAGAAGAAGAAAATCTGTAATGATAAAAATATAAAGGAACCATGTTTTAAATTGGTTTAGGTCAACAAAAAAACTTAAGTACCACCCTTATAATTATATCAGTCCTTCAATAGGTGTTCTTGTTGTTGCTCGTGAACCTCAACCAGCGATATTAAAGACACAACTCTCCAACAAATGAAAATATGATTATTATAATTTCAAAAATGCAAGTGTGAATGAGAAAAATACTTAGACGTGACTCTAACAACTTATTAAAACTAGTTCTTAATTTGTCGAATCATATTTCTTTCTTTATGTGATGCTTCAAAATAATCCTAATTCCATTTAAATAACAATAGAAGAAAATTAATAGGTAAAAACTACAAAACTGTACATTAAAAATAAAGCTGGTTCACCAATAACACTCTAGAGAAGAAGCATGATAATGTTTAAGCCTAGTTAATTAGTCATGACGGCTTTGTATTTTTTGGCTTGTTCTTTTCAGAAGACTTCATCTTTGAATGAAGATCAGTCCATGTATAATTAGATGGAATTGTAAACAGATCTTGTGCTGTATTATAGGATTCAGCAGCAGCAGATGAACTCGACTGAGAAGGCGTTCTTATCCATTGAAACCACGACGACGAGGGTTGTGCTGGTGGATTCTCTAAATCAGCAGAAGTAGGACTTGATGGAGCTGATTCAAATTCATCTACTTTTGGCAGTTCTTCAAACTTTGTAAATGTAACCAAAACTTTAACTGGCGAAACCACAGGAATCGCAATCTGAAATTTGCAAACACAGTCTTTTTCGCTTCGATTCGTAAAAAAAACAAAAATATTAAGAAAACAAGACCAAAAGTAACAATCACCTTGACAGGAAAAGTATCCTTTGGAAGTTTTGTTGTAAGGAGTTCTCTAACACGACGAACGGCTTTAACTTTTTCCGCAAGAATGTCAAGCAAAGGCAAAAACTCTTCAATTTTCAAAGGAAAATTTTGGGAAAGCCAAAGTACCGGCATCATCCCTCTCTTATACTCAGTATCACCATTTTCTTCCTTGACACCAGCACTACTACTAGTGCTAGCAGAGTTTGTAGAAGGCACTTTGGTAGTTTTCGCCTTGAGATTATGATGATCTTTTTGTTTATGTTCACTAGACTTTCCTTTTTTCCCTTTCTTAGTATTATTTTCTTCCGAGTAATCGAATTCAGCTTCTTCTAATTGCTTTCTCTCATCATCTGTTAACATATCTTCAAGCTTTTCATTTTGCTTTTCCTTGGGAGGTAACTTTGGCGCCTGAGGTTGAGCACCAGGAACCTTTTTGGATTTTATAGTTAAAACCACATTTTGCATATCATAAACCTTACTTTTCCATGGTCCTACACTTTCTTTTCTCTCCTTTCTCCTCCATGTTACTTGTGGAACAAGAAGTGATTGACTCACATCAATTGCAACTCTCACCACTTTAGCCTCAGTTGATTTCTTAGCCAAATATTGTTTCATTTCTCTTTCATCTGGTTTTGAAGGCCTAGATAAATAAGGAACAACAACTTCTTTTTTCTCGTGCGAAACCAAACACATAAAACCAGGTCGCATTCTCTCATCATCTGATTCATCACCAATGAAAATAACACTCTGATCTGATCTTTTGATTCTTAAACCATCAAAACCAGCCAATGTCATATCAGCTCTCATATTAGCACCTCTTTTCCAAATCTTGTAAGTATCAGAAGGCGCGATCCTTGAGATAAACGGTATCACAGAACTCTCAAAATGGAATGTAATCTCCATGTAAAAGTCTCTCATCCTTCTCATAGTCGCGAAATAACGAGGAAACCTTCTGTACCATTTTTCGTCCATTTCGTTATAAGAATACTGGATCATAGTAAATGCTATTTTGTCTTGTTTTTTTATGATGGCTTCTCTAAGAGCACTCCAACCTTCATTGTTCTTCAACCTGTTATTTGCACCAGCAGCCATAAGCATTTCAGCCGCGACAACATCGCCGAGTTTTACAGCCAAATGAAGAGGCGTGTCACCATTTAACACATCTCTTCTATCTACAACTGCAGAAATTTTTGCAGCTTTTCCATCCTCAGCTATTGATGCAGCCTCAGTTTTTATGTCATAAGGATTACCAAGTTTTGGTAAACCTTCAAGTATCTCCTTAAGATTAGCATAATCTTTCAATATGATGGATTTGTGCACAGGACTATGAGCATATGCTGACACATTAATGCCTGCCATACCTCAAACCAAGAAGATAAAGGGACAAGGGTACATACAATCATGCATAATAGTTCTCTAATGGAAAACTCAAGAAAGAGAAAGGTGAAAAAAAATGTAAAGATTGAAAATCTCATAGACAAAATAGAAAAATAAAAATGGGAGATAGAGATACTTGGAGGCAAAAGGATTAAAAATAGGAAAATGATTATTTTAGACAAACATATGTGTGACATTGGTTTGTCTACATTAGAGATTGAGGGGATTTTTAAAAGCCCTTTATTAGTTTCTTTGTTATATTTGTAAAAATGAATTTTTAGGATTCAATAGTAGAAACTATTTCGATTTTTTTTTTTTTTAAATTAAAAGAGAAATTTTGATATTTAATATTTAAATATTAATTGTTAAGATTTTAACATAATAAAAAATAAATAATTTCTAAAAATAATTTTTCATAAATAATTATTTAATCAAAGACACTGTTTTCCGTTGAGACTAGCATGGAGCTCATATATGTAGGTGACACCTGTGTGTCTCACTTATTTTTCGTTGACGACTGTTTTTTGTTTTGCAAGGCTAATCTATCCGAGGTGATAACTCTTACGGGGATTCTTAATACTTATGCAGCGACATCGGGCCAAGAGATCAACCTTTTGAAATCTGAGGTGTTCTTTAGCCGTAACTTAAGTCATGCGGCCCAGAAGGATCTGGCTAAATTGTTGGGGGTGAGACATGTTTTGGATACAGGGTCCTATATGGGTTTACCTTCCATGATTGGTACAAGCAAGAAGGCAACGTTCTCTTTTGTTAAAGATAGAGTTTGGAAGAGAATTAATTCTTGGAGCGGTAGGTCATTGTCTAAAGCAGGAAAAGAAGTTATGATCAAATCAGTCCTTCAATCAATTTTGGCTTATATCATGAGTGTCTACTTGACTCCGGATGGGGTGGTGAAAGATATTGAAAGAATGCTGAATTCGTTTTGGTGGGGAGGAGGGAGAAATAATAAGGGTATTAGATGGATGGCTTGGGATAGATTGACTTCGCTGAAGAGTGAAGGAGGAATGAGGTTTAGAGATTTTAAAGCTTTTAATATAGTTGTGGTAGCAAAACAAGGGTGGAATTTGCTGTCAAAACCCAATTCTCTTGTGTCCAGGATTTTCAAGGCAAGGTATTTTCCTAGATCCTCTTTTTTGAAAGTTAAGGTTGGTTATAATCTGAATTTTGTGTGGAGGAGTTTGTGGAAGGCTAAGGATGTGTTAAAGATGGGGTGTAGGTAGAGTATTGGTGATGACCGTAATATTAAAGTTATGCATGATTCATGGATTAGAGTTCGTGGTAGTTGGTGGGTGCATGGTCTGCAAGGTCAAGGGATGTATGATCTTTGTGTGAACGATCTTTGACTTCCTAACACAAAGCAATGGGATGTTAGTAAGGTGAGACAAGAGTTTGGACATGTGGGGGCTGAAGCAATTCTTAAAGTTCTGTTAATGGAGGATATGGTGGAGGATAAGATAATTTGGCAAGAGGAACAAAATGGGGACTATAGCGTGAAATCGGGTTACAAGTTATGGAGGAAAGTCCATTCTAGTGCTAATTCAGTTACCTAATAGGGTAATTGGAACTCTCTTTGGAACATTATTGTGCCTCCTAGGGCTAAACATTTGCTTTGGAGAATTTGTAGGGGCTTCCTATGAACTCGTGCTAAGCTTCAACAACATCAGGTTTAGTGTCCGTCTATTTGTCCTTGGTGCGAGTTAGAAGACGAAGATGAGTGGCATGTGTTTTTTGGGTGCTTTTCAACAGTTCAAAGCTGACAGGCAGTAGGTTTGTCATCTATTATCGAACTTCGATTACATACTTTCCATGATGCTAAATCCCTTATTTTTGGTGTCAGTAGTAAAGAGGATGGTAAAGAGGAGGGAAGATTTGTTCTGTTGCTTGAGATTCTGTAGAAGAGCAAGAATAATGTGGTTTGATAGGACACTAAGGAGGATGTTATGAAGATGGGGTTACAAGCGTATTATAATTGGCATGACTGGTTTTTAGCTAAGGAAGAGAAGAACGCTAACACAGGTAATCACCAAATAGAGGTTTGGAATCTGTCGGTATCGGGACAAGTTAAATGTAATGTTGATATAGATTTTAATAATGTTTGTGGAACTACTAATAGAAGTTGGTGCCTAAGGGATCATCTAGGGAGAATTCTCACGCAGGAGTGGCTTGGGATGTGGGTCTCTTATCTGTTATTGAAGCTGAAGTTATTGTCTTTAAAGAAGCGATCCAACAAGTCATTTCTTTACAGTTAACTAATTTTATTTTTGAAAGTGATTGTCATAATGTTGTACAGGTTGTCTGTTCTAGGCATCTGGACAATTCTAAGTTTAGTAGTATTGTTAAAACTATTCAAAGATTGTTAAATTTATTTCTGAACTTTGAGGTAAAGTTCATTAAGCGCCAAACGAATTCGGTTGCCCACATGTTAGCTAAGGCGACTAATTCTTGGACTAGACGTAATATCTTGAATATGCCACCTCCTTGTATTAAATTACTTTTGATGAATGAAAGTCGTTAAAATTGTTTTTGTAAAAAAAAAAAAGTTTTTCAATTTGAAATTTTATGTTTATATATTTACATTAATTTTTCATTTAAAGTTATTTCTAAAATTAAAATATTATTATAACAAAAAAAAATGAACTACTCTAAAAATTATTTAAAATATAAGGTAGTAAAAACAGACATCCATTTGTCTACTAAACATTAATTTTTGGATAAAAATACATGTAAAATTAGGTTGGGTAGGGTAGTTCAAAACTTTTAATTTATTTTTATTTTCTTAATTTCGAAAATAATATGTAAAAAGGGTTACCCTAAATTTAAAGAATGCGCCAAAGTTAAAAATTAATATGTGTCGTTAGGTCAATTTAATTGATAATATGATTAAATCATGACTATTAGATTAATAAAAAGACTTCACACATGCATTTTAGAAGAATCTATTATTCTAACAATTTACCCCTCCAGTTTTGTATCTTAATCTTAATTTCTTTTAGAAAAATAATAAGATAAAGAGATTTTGTTGGACTAAAGAAATGCAGTATAATTTATGTCAACAAAAAATTATAAGTGGTGAATAAATTTATATTGTTTTCATTATAGATTTTTTTTATCTCGACAACACTGATGACATTGTATTTACTATCAGAAACATAAATGGCATAATGTAAATGGAGGATCTGAGTAGCACCATTGAATTAGTGGTGCGAAGAATTGTAAAATTAGCTAATTAGAATAACAAGTGAAACTTATGATAAGATAAATAATTAAGTCCCATTCGAATCTTTTTTTCTTTTCGGTTAATTCCGACTTAAATCTATAATAAGTCTTCTTGTTTAACGATAATTTTAGAAAATAATTAGGCATTATGTTTCATTGCATATTCTGTTTTGTTTAATTATGTATTGGTAAAAAAATACAAGTTTGTATGTTTTTCTTGTAAGAGCAAAGGATTTAGAATTTTTCTAGGTATATTACGTGTATATATAGTAGTTAAGACTTACTCACGACAACGAGAAATTCTGTACAACGGTATTTTACAGTGATTTTAGGAGTCTCTCTCACGTGAGATGAAAGACTCTATGTCGAAACAAAATATGTTTATACTCTTTGGATTTTGATGATAACAAACTACTTAAAGAACAATTTGGTATATTAACATTTGTGTAAGTGTGCATGATAATTAAGCTCTGAATTAGCTTGGTTTTGACCCAATTAATAAGTTTATAAAGAGAAGCACATGACTCGGATTCTGAAGGATCAGAATCTGATCAACACTTGAAACCTCAACTTCTGATGACAGCTCAGAACCTGATAACTTGGAAACATAATACAACGTCACTGGTATGTACTTTGTGAAAAGAAGCTCCATCTTATCAAAAGCTAGATTATGGAAAAGTCACCTAGAGTTCCTAGTGCAAGGCTCAAGGTTTTGTGACACGACTTTTTTAGTCTGCGCTAGCATCCTTGTGGTCGCTTTGTTTGAGAAAGACACAATGGATAAAACGTTTATTCAGAAGTTGAAGATCCTAATAGTACCAACTTTCAACGTCTCTCTCTTGGAAAGTGTTTCTTCAACAAACACACTTGTCCAAGTTAACTTCCAACGTCTCTTTTGTTGCCTCTATATAAGTAGCTCGAGATCCAAAGGAAGGATATATACCAACAACAGGAAAGAAAAAACAACAAGAGAAAACACAACAAGAACAAGAACTGATCTGATCACTAAACTCTCATATATATTTGTAGTATTGCATATTGTCTTGAAATTTCTTACCCTTGTATATCTGTTAGCTCCTAAATTCGACACCCTTGTTTTTATTAATATCAGCCATTAAAGCTGAAGGATGGTTTCGACCAGCTGGGTCTGTTGAAATGCCCATCAGAAGATGGCAATGTACTTAGAGAATTTCTTCCAAGGGAGAATTTGGTTGCCTTCGACGTCGAAGGTGTTGCTCGTCGAAGATGCTTCTCGACGAAGGTGTTCGATTGCTCAGAGTGGGACGGTTTGAGATTCAAACGTTTGGAGGGAAAACGGTTCCCAGCGGTTACCAAGTGCAACGTGCAAAGATCTGGAGCGTCGAACGCTGAGAGCGTGCCAAGTGGAGTCATCTCGAAGCAGTGTAACTGCCCGACGGTTACTTGGGATGTGTTTAGTATAAATATTAGTAGTTCACGTAGTTTTTCGCGTGTGTTCACAATTATATACAAGTCACTCATATAGATTCGAGTACCCAGCGTGTGAGAAAGAATTGTTGAGAATGTATGTGTGAAACACCACTTTATTAATCAAAGTCATTTATTTTCCAGAAACTTTACTTGCTTTCTCCTTTACTTTTCCAGTCGAAAGCCTTTATTTCAAGCCTTTCTTTATTTTATCAAGTTCTCTTCTTCATGCAATTTACATTCTTCATGCAATTTACATAAAACTTCTTTATTTTCTCGTCATTTAACCATTACCAAACTTAATCAAAACCCCAAAATCAACCATGTCTTAGGATCAATCTGATCGATCCTGCGAGTCACCAAATAAGTAACCTTTTGGAAGATCAGCGGTTGTTTACCAATTCCCACGGTAAATAAATTGGCACACCTGGTGGGACTGTGTGTTGATTTTGAAGTTTAACCTTTTCATACAGAATATCATCTTTTTCGAGAAGTATTGCATGTTATTGAGAAGTGGTAGAATATACACTAACAATACCAATACTGCCAGAAGAAGAGAAGCGATGGCGAATCCGCCAAACAATAATGAAATCCCACAAACGAATGTGGGAACAACGGTTATCTCAACCATAAGTGAAGCGATAACCGCTGGTTCAACACCAGCAGTAACGGTCACAACAACGGGGCCATTACCTCCGTTCACAGGCCCCAGAGTGCCTTTGGGAACTCCCCCACCAAGGGGAAATCTAGGCACAAGGCCTTATGTTCCCCCAGGATTTATGACAGGCGGTCATAATCGAGAACCACTCTATGGCATGCCAACGTCTGATTTGGCTAGCCTAACGAACGCTGCGTCCACTTTTTCAGACCCTTTAGTGAGTGCCTCTTCGCCACTCCAAGGTTCTGGAGTAGGTATGGCGAAGAGAAATAGGACCCAACTCTTAGGAGGAACGTCCCAAGTAGCACATGGCCTTACGAATGCCTCGACAGCAGTCTTGAGGCAACAAATGGACGAAAGCAACCATGATATGGTTCAAATGTTGGCACAAACTTTAAGTACAGTGTTGAATCCTCTAATACAAAATACCACCCAGTCGAATCAGCAGATGACAACGCAAATGACGCGTTTGGCTGATTTCTTTGGAGTACCCCAACCTATTCGACAGCCCCAAAGGGCGCAAATAAGGGGAAACCAAGGTATACTCTTAGAGGAAGAAACCACTATCAACCAAGTCCAGCAGCCTGTCGAAGAAAACCTCAGGGCACGATTGGAGCAACCTGTCGAAGAACCTAGGGTTATAACCCCAGAGGTAAGGTTAGTTAACAGAAACCAAAATGCTGACAAAGTGGTTCAGCATATCCAATACCAAAACATGGGTTTGGAAAATAATCTGGCAGCCATGATCGAAAGAATCATGACTCAAAATGGGATGAACATGGGCTTTCGTAGGCCCAATTTCACATCCCCACTGTCAGAATACGTGTTACAAACAGACTTACCTCCTAGATGTAAAGTCCCTAAGTTCACTAAATTCTCTGGGGACACGATAGAATCTACTGTCGAACATGTGGCGAGATACTTGATCGAAGCAGGAGATATTTCAAACAACGAAAACCTGAGGATTAAGTACTTCCCAAGTTCTTTAACAAAGAACGCTTTTACTTGGTTTACAACTCTTCCCCCCAATTCGATCCATCATTGGACCCAGTTGGAGAGATTGTTCCATGAGCAATTCTACATGGGACAAACCAAGATAAGCCTGAAAGAATTGGCCAGTGTAAAGAGACGTTTCACTGAACCTATAGACGAATATCTAAATAGGTTTAGGTTGCTTAAAGCAAGATGTTTTACACAAGTTCCAGAACATGAGTTAGTCGAAATAGCCGCAGGCGGTTTAGATTATTCCATTAGGAAGAAGTTAGACACTCAATACCTGAGAGACATGGCCCAACTGGCCGATAGAGTTCGACAGGTAGAACGCCTTAAAGCTGAGAAAGCCAAGGCAACGAAAACTCATAAAAGAGAGAGGATAGCGTATGTTGAGATGGATGACGAAGATCCAGAAACCTTCGACGAAACTATAACCGTCGAAGAAGGCGAGGTCGATTTAGCGGAACTAAAACAAGGGCCACCATACTCTTGCAAACTGTTAGTACCCTCAAGTGGGAAAAATCCCACTGGTCCAGAAAGGACCAACGATAGGTTCCCCAAAAAGACTTATAGTTTTGACATTACAAAATGTGATGAAATCTTTGACTTGCTTGTAAAAGATGGCCAAATGATAGTACCCCCAGGGGTAAAAGTGCCTTCTCTTGATCAAAGGAAGAAGAGAGGCTTTTGTAAATATCATAATTTTCTGGGCCATAAAACGTCTTAATGTTTTCTTTTCAGGAATCTTGTGCAAGACGCTATCGAAGAAGGGAGGTTGAAGTTTGCTGACAAGACCCCCATGACTGTGGACTCTAACCCGTTGCAGGCTGAAGCCCATTATGCTGAACCTTCAGAGGTGAACGTGATCGAGGCATCCAGAAGGCAGTCGAAGAGGAATCACAATGGTCGAAGTCTCAAAGGACCATGTCAACATGC